ACGCTTAGCGCGCAAAGAATTAGCTATATTAGCTATAAATGCTATCTAAGGGGAAATTCTTTGCGCATATAGCTTAAGTATAGTCTTAACAATCACCTGCTCCTTTTTATTGCCTAGCCTTTGTAATTTAGCTGTAGAATTAGCTTGTAAAAGTTGTCTAGCGCTGTAGTTATTTGTTGTCTTTTATAGGACTTTGCACATAGCTACAGCACATTTCTTTAAGAGTTTTATGTCTTATTTAAAAGCTTAGAGCGCAAGCTGTATCTAATGTTCTTTTAGCGTGTCTAAGTGGTGTTGTGGGGAATGCATTAGTGTAGGAAGGGTGGTTTAGTGGGGTCTTGGCAAAAGTGAGCGACTCGGGTGTGTGAGCAACTCGCCTATGAAGTACGTTATGCTTTTCTACATTTTTAGATCTTATGCTAGCTATAAAGGCTACAGCTTATAGTATAGTCTTTATAGACCTTATTTAGCTTAGCTTTAGTGCAGCTTTAGCTATTAACTATATAAGTAATGCTATAGGTAGTAAAGTATTTAAAGAAGATAAATAGTTATCTTTAATTTTTTTTTCTTAATAGTAGCTTAGTAGGTCTACTTTAATAAAATTTAATATATTATTTATAGTGTTATTTTTATAAAATAACTTTATTTTTAGCTAATAACTAGGTGTTAGAAGCCTAATTATTCTAATATATATAGTAATTTTCTTTACTATGTTATATATAAGGTTATTTATTAGGTCTTTAGGCTTACTGCTAAAAATTAAGTGTTTATTAAAAATAACATTATATGTATAAATTACTTTTACTAGCAGTAGTATTTATATGTAGTAGATGTTTAATAATTAGTACTTAACTAAATATCTAATCTATGCCTTTAAGTCTAGCCTTTATAGCTTAGATTTATTCTAATATGTGTTATTAGTTATTATAAATGCTTTATAGCTATAAGCTTTTAGATGTGTAAAGCTTAGCTTTTAAATTAACATAATAACTTTATTATTTAAAGCTGCTTATGTAAAGAAGATCTTATATAGTATCTTTTAGTTGTTAGCATAGTTTAGCGTCTAATTATATAGGTATACGCTAGCTCTAGTAATGTATAGCTATATATTTTATAGTAGGTTAGCATCTAGTTGCATAGCCTATAACTTCTTCTTATTTACACTTTCTAAGCGTTTAGCTTCTCTATTCTAGGCTTATATATCTTGTGCTAAAGGCTTAATAGTTATTCTATATAATACTAGCTAGCGTTCTACCTTTAGTTTTACTATTATAATTTTATTATTAGCTTTAATAACTTTTACAGTAATATTATAATAGTTCTTTAAAAAAAGATAAAAATTATAAAAGCTTTAATAATTAATTTAGTAAGCTTATTATTTTTAAAGTAAAGGT